CTTACAGGTTTATTATTTAAAATGTTTGAGGGTAACCGTGTGGCACGTTGGTTCACTGTGGTCTGTCCAATATTAGGCCTGATTACATAATGAATTAGTGAAATGTAAAAATCAGTAATTAATTTCAGATATCATTATAGATAGGAGTTAGAGGGATGGATCGAGATAGTTAGATTGGCGACGATGATGATAAATTTTATTTAGCTAGTACATAATGTCAACATTTGTGGTTCACATTAACTATCCGAAATCGAATGAGAATAGAGCAAGAACAAACATTGATGCAGAATAGTATGAATTCATAATATTTCGAGGTTTCTCGTCAGCTGCTTACATACCCTAAATGTGATAGAATTTTTTACATGGAGATAGTGTGAAACAATTGGCATATATATATATATATATATATATATATATATATATATATATATATATCGTCACATTGTGACGAAGGAAACAATGGATCTCAACTCAGAGGACTTCATCTGAATAACTTTTATTATTTACTATTTCTCAGTGTTATTTTGTACACTTTCATACATTAGTGCATATTTTGTGGTATTTTGTTCAAATTATTAATTTCATGTGTTTCATGTAAGCATATTTGTTATTTGTAATATTTATCAGGTTAGATTAGATAAGAATTCATTAAATGATTTATAGATATACAAACATATATTTTGAATTAATGAGGTGATTATATACAACTAATTAACATTAATTTAGTATTTTTCATATTGATGAAAGATTAATAGAAGTTAGAATTTGAAATTTAATGTCGCTTTTTGACATATTGGCCAAGTACTGATTTAATTACCTACTTGCTCACGCCTTTTACGCCACATGGAGTAGCATTGGATGTCCACCAGCATTCTCTATCAAACTCTGTTCTGGACAATACTTCCTAGTTGTTTCCACTTTCCATTGATTCATTTCATGTCTGTTTCCTATTCCCGACACTTTGTGTACTTCACCATTCATCTTTTCTGTTTCTTCACAGGATTCCAGGTTAGCACACCTCATGATGTAGTTTGATTATTTCCACAACATATGTCCCACCCACAACTTAGACCGTCATTTTCTAATTTTTTCTTCAGTTGGAAGTTGGATTGTTCTCTCCCACAGTAGGCTGTTGATGATCGAATCCGGCCAACGGACATCTAATATCTAATGTGGACAATTATTTATTAATACTTGTACTTTATTTATGATGGTTATGGTAGAAGTTCTCAAATTTTCACATCCGTATTGTACAACTACTTGAAGTTCATATTGATGATTCTGAGTTTGATATTGGTTGAAAGACTGTGGTTTTGAGTTCCATGAATTCTTCAACTGTAGGAATACTGTCCTTACTTTTCCAACACTGGCCTCTATGTCTCCATCAGATCCTCATTCTTCATCGATCATGCTGATCAGACACGTGAAAGTTTACACCTCGTCCAGAGCTTATCAATCGACAGTGATTGGTTCGGTATTCTCCATGTTATATTTTAGGATCTTGGATTTTCCCTTGTGTATGTTGAAACCTATTGCTGCAGACAGAGGCGTTGTTACACTGGTTGTCTTGACCTGTATTTGTTGTTGTGTGTGATATGGAGGGTTGAGGTCATTTGTGAAGTTCAAACCATCCAGTTGTATGCAAGCTGTCCGTAGTATACGGTGCTTCCCGTCAGATTTGGACGTCTTTATAATCCAGTCAAACACTAGAAGAAGGAGAAGGGGAGGAGTAAGCAGCTTTGTATGACTCCAATCCTCACTTGGAATGCATCTGTCAACTGTCGTCCATGCACGACCTCGCAGTGTATCCATCGTATGAATTCCGGATCATTTTGAAGGTCTTATCAGGTTATGAGTGTTTACAATATCTGATTCAGATTGTTAATGAACAGATTTGGAGAATCATATTAATTACATCTCGCTTACTTATCATTTCATCATCTAAAACAATTTGTAAATGTACACCAGATTATCCGAGTGTTTAGAAATTTATATCGATGTTAGAAATATTTGTAGTCTCTTTGTTCATCGGAAATGAATTCATTACAGAAGGCTAAAGATAATGAGTGGTAATGATAACACTGTATAACAATAAATTAATCAGCTGGTAAATGTATTGATGATTGTAAGCCAATAAATTGGATTATTACGTTTAGAATAACTTTATCACTGATTGGAATTAAATATATGCTAAGATGATAATCAAATGTAAGCAATCCATAGAAAGGGTTTGGTGAAAATAAATTAACAGTGTTTTGAAGTTCAAAACATTCAATTTTCTGTATAATGATAAAAAATCGTAAGCTTTTAATTCATTCATGTGAATAGAAACCAGGTGATTTACCAGCTTCGTAAGTAATGTTACTTAACTTGGTAATGTATATGAAGCGGATAACAAATATGCTAGATTTGACAGTACTACTGTCTGAAACTTTTTTATTAAAAATGATCCCAAAGCCAATAAATACAAAAGTTGAAGATGAGGAGGATGAAAATTTAACTGAATTATGTTGCGTCATATTCTAATCATAAAATCCATGTGTGTTTTAGAATAGCAAACGTTATAAATACTAGCAAGTTGAATATACCAAATCCGTATGTTATTTTAATGTACAATTTCTACCTGTTGCAATTAGCTTCGTAATTTTAGCTTAGTAAGACGTTGCATCTTAATGTCCATAAGCCATTTTTATTAACGATTTTGAGAGTTTCTTTCTTACACAAAAACAATAATATACGTCAACTGGGTCATTCAATGGCTTTATTGTTTTAATAAGAAGCATAGAATCCAACATTTTACTTAAAAACCTAGTCTTTAGATTCTGATATTGCAATACGAACCAGTGAGATCATTATGTTGGGGAGTTTGTGTCCAAACATGTTTTAAAGTTTTAGGTAGAGATGAGTTTATTATTTATCTCTTGTGAGTTTCTATGAGTCGAACTGGACAATCTATCCTCGGGTTGAAAAGATTTAATAACACTCCTTATTGACTATGAATGTTGGCTTTGACAGACCTGATAAGAGGTCCAAAACTTAGGAAATAACCAGTCAGATCTAAGTTTGTAACTACTGATTTGGCACACAATTCATTCATTTATATGGCTAAACGGAATTTCGATATTATAGCTGATGTTCGTTCGTGATGAAAACCCCGACTCTAATTTTTAACTTCAACGCTTAAAACTAAATCCTAATCCAAATTAACCGCGCTAATTTAAAATTCTATTTTGATTCTTACAGTTGTTGAAGTTACTGAAAGGCACTTAATTATAGCCCAAATATCATCCACAAGTTATTGTCTGGATAATACATTTTGTCGTAGAATCAAATGTGTTAGTGGTCAATCAAGCTTCTGATAGCGAAATGAATTTTATATTAGTTTATTTCAGTTGTTGCTATTTCATTCAAATCTATGGACGATATGAGTTATTTGAGATTTTTCATTTTCTGTCATCTCTAATCTAACCATCTTTTGTTACACAGATTATCTTGTTTGTCAATTATGATTGTTGTATTAACTACCGATCAACATTTTTTCTTGTAAACTGTTTGTTTACGATGGAAAGGGGATCAGCGTCGTCAAATCAGCAGTCAACTGAGAGATGAATTATGCAACATTCTTGAACACATCAACTCCCCTTCAACTTATGCTCCATCCTTAGGTAGCTCACAAGTGGAAACAGAACACATCATTGACTTCTCTATGTGTGAAATTTCACCCTATCGGTTTGGTATAAATTATCTTGCTAATTCATGTCAAAGTCATTCCGGAGTGAGACTATAAGGTGTATATTTGAAGATGTCAGACTTTGATATAAATTTTTATTTTCACATTTTGTGTATTATCAATGATATGTATCTAATTTTCATACTGATATTGGACTATTGGTCATAGATGATTCGGAATTTGAATAATACGATTATAAGAAGGTTTTAAAATTATGCGGTATGTTTGCGCAGTGCATTCTAAATAATCTGATTAAACATATATTTGTCATGAGATTAAGTATGAAAAAATAAAAAAACCCAACTAGAAAACCCAAACAGTAAGGGGAAACAAGGATATTAATAAAGTATGCAATGTGAAAACCACTCTGGACAATAAATTAGTATTACCAAGGTAGGTAACGGGTAAGAACAGGCTATTTATCATTGCTTTCCAGTTTTTGTGTAGCTACGACTTCGATAAACTTTAATACACAGTCTTAAACACATTTTTACAAAACTCATCTCAAAAAACGTATCTGTACAAGCGGTACGTGGATGATGTTATAGTCTTAAGTGATAAATTTGAAGATGTAAACCACTTGTTCAGGGAACTCGATATAATTCAAAAGTTTATTTGTCTAATATGCAAAGAAGAGATGAATGAAGATCCTTTAACCTCCAGGGCAGAGTTTAAATGGTTTAAGTTGTTTTCTCAGTTTAGCATATTTTTAGCAAAGTCATTTTCCACGAGATGGGGTTGCTGATCCCATACCAAACCCTCCAAATTTATTAGGGTTTGTGACCGGCAGTAACCTTAGAAGAGATACAGGAGGAGTTATCATTGTAATATGTGAGGATTTAGTGTCTGGCCTTATAAGTTTTCATGAAATTCTTAGTGGTAACTATATGAATAAACCAGTTGCATTTATGATCTTTCACTGCTGCAATATTCATTAACATTAAACATTATTTCCAGCAACAATTTGCATCAACAGCAGTATTCAGGGCATAAAAATACCAATTTACTTAGTCCTGATAAGTAGATTAATAAAATTGTTACTGAGAATCAACAATTTAACATAGTGTTTAGTTCAACATCAATTAAACCAACCTATAAAAATTTCGAATAATGAATGCAATTCGAGCCATGTGAATGGTTGAAATCAACAATTTACATATATTTGTTAGATAATCCAAAAATGAGCCAATGAGAAATCAGTGTATGACAAAATGTTAGAAAGTTTCGGTTTGTGAAACAGTATTTAAACGAACCAAATCAAACGACAAAAGTTGTAGACCTCGTAAGTCGAAGATATGCTTCCTACCGTCTTATCGACAGTTCCGAAATGTTTGTTATTTTTCATAGCAGTCATACTATCACAGTATAAAATTGAGTGTAAATCGTCATTATTGGATGTAACAGATCCAGAAACTTGGAAGAAGTTGGCAGATGAAAGATTTAATAAATTTGAACAATCATTAACTTATTTATTACTTAAACGACCAAAAAATATCATCTTATTTATTGGTGATGGTATGAGCTTGAACACTGTTACTGGAGCAAGATATTTGAAAGCGGAGAAGATGGATGTTTTAGGTGGTGATGTACAGCTAGAATGGGAAAACTGGCCTGTTGCATCACTTGTCCGTACATTCAACTCAGACAGACTGACAACAGAGTCAGGTTCTGCGGCAACTGCTTTTATGTCAGGTAAGTCGTAAGGTGAACAAATGTTTTTAATGAGACAACTACTACTTCATGTCTTATTTAAATTACATTGTCATATTTTAATGCACTTACAACCAAGGAACGATACATGTCCTGTGTGATAAAAATCGGAACACTCCGTTGATCATAGAACAATGTGTATATTTCAAGCAAATGAATTTAGATGCACTTGAAATGTTTTGTGATTTACTTTTCTGTAGATAGTCTCGTTTATCAAATTGATTCTGTAATTCTTCTGTACAACATAAGCGGAATCTGGAGAATAGATAAATGTATAATTAGTTCCAATTAAAAGTCAGATTAATTACCTTTTACGGGAGATGTTATTCAGATCCACGTAGGTGTGGTACAGATCGATTTTGATGTTTCTGATCAGTATTTAATTATCCCATATCCACTAATGAAGTTCGCAATCCATTGAGTACTTATACTGATCCGAGTTTCCCATAATTTTATAATCTGGAGAAAGTCGATTGCAGTAGAGATAAAAACTCATCTCCTCTTTGTGGTTCACCTTATCATGAGCTTCGTTGGAGTTCGTATGGGAGGTTAAGACACATAGAGCCAATCAGGTAGAAAATTGATTAGTTATCAATTAATAGTAATGATCACATCAAATTGATTGAAATCAGTAACCGAAAACCATTAGCTCACATCTGAGTGATTCAATAATGTTATTCTCCATGTGATAATACAAAAGCTTTGTATTTGATCATGAATTCATGAGCTAAATTAAGGCGAATAACCAGTGGACAGTGATACTTCTTCTACAAAGTTTCCCATTTGGTATTTGTCAATAATAGAAGATATACTAGACTAAAACTTTAGAAATACTGAATGCTCTATATAATGTATTCTAATCGGTCGAAGAGTCGAATCAAAGTAAATTTTAAACAAAGAACATGTTTTGAAGTGTACATAATAAGACTTCAGAAGGTTAAGTGTCAAATACAGTTTTCATAGTTCACTGATATAAGTCGAAGGAATGTTGATTTAACTTGAGTTGGAAGTGTAAGATGCTAGTCTATGAGCAGATCATTATGCTATCAAAGATGAATGGATTTATTATGATGAGTTGTATGCAAAACCGCACACATAGCAATTTAGTTTTCTGTCGTTATTTGATGTGTAACTTTTGCTGCGTATTCTGCTGATTTTAAATTATTTTCAGGTGTGAAAGGGCCTTATGATACTGTTGGTATCACGGGAACAGTGAAGTGCTGTGAATGTACTGAGTTGAAAGAAGAGGAAAGAGCGAAATCTTCTCTCATGTATGCCTCTAAAGCAGGATTTTCCACTGGAATAGTTACAACTACGAGGGTTACTCATGCAACAACCGCAGCAGCATATGCCAATATGTTGCATCGAGATTGGGAGTCGGTAGGGTGAGTGCAAATTATATTCGACAATGATTTTACATTTATGTATAGTTTTAATGTGATAAAGTACACAAATTATGTGTGCAGGTTTTATCGTAATTAACTCCGTTTACAGTTGGTGTTTTGTGTATTTTGTCTGAGTACGACAAACTAAGAAGCATTAATTTTATAAAACGGTTTTTCCCAATACACTGTGAATGAAATATGTAAAATTGGTGAGATTAAGATTTCTTTAGAAAAATGATAGTGTAGTATCTATAGTGGTATCTATATATCATAAAGTTCACTTAAGTTTGTGTTCATAAATGATTATAAATTTGAAGTGAAATCTCACATTCATCCGGAAGCTATTACACATTTATCTATTAAATTGCTTTATTGTTACTTTATGTCAGATTGCCATGATCTTAAATAGAATATTCTTCCCAATGATGACTTTCTTATTTGGGCTCCACACAGTCATGAATAGATAGGTTTGAAACCACCGTTCACCTGTTACGGTCAATAAAATGATAGTGCCATTATCACTTCTACACAAAAATGTTTGGTTCAAAATAGAGAGTAAGAACTTGGGTTTTATGAATGAGTTTATAATATATCCTCTTCAAAATTGTCAAGGGAATCTTTGTTGATTGCTTTATCATCTATGTGATCGGCTGCCTCTACCCACGTGACATGTGGATGAAATAAAACACCATTAATTCATTAATCATTTTTAATAATTGACTTGTTTATCTAACTACATACAGAATTTCAAGATGGATTACGGTATAAATGTGCTACAATTGATCCTAGAATGTTCGGGATAAATAAATCAACCGGTGATAATCACAATAATATATTCAATATCCACAAATTGCATTAGTGTACGAACACAGTGCAATATGGGTATAAGACAAGGTGTGATGAATAAATTGCCAACTTATTCACGAATACATATAAGAGCCTACCCACATTAATTTATCTATTCGGCTAACTGTTTGAATAGAAATTACAACCGGTCTTGGTTTTGACAAAATGTGTAAACTTTTGTAGGTCTAGTTTCATTACTATATCTGGTTTAGCAGCAATCAGGAGCAAACATATGCCTTATCTACTTCTTGAGGTAGCTAACTTCTCATTGTTAAATACCAGTGCTTGATGGTGCGACTCAAAATCAGATCGTATACATTGATCTGTAATTGTGGTATATGCTGCTTATGTCCACAGTCATACACAGTTACTTATAGTAGCCGTTGTAGTGAAATGGATGTGGTGTTCATTGACACGAAACAATTTATAGTAGTTCGATTCACTTTCACACTGATATCTTCTGACTACCTACACTGAAGCTCCATCTTCGTATTTTCACTGTTACAACAAGTGACTGACTTCATCATCGTCATCATAATCACTGTCGCTTATTTCTCCTCTCATTCAGACCATCAAGCAAGCGCGGATTCCACTGCGTAGACGCTGCTGCACAACTATTGACAAATGCTTCTCACGTCAACGTCATAATGGGAGGAGGGGCAGCCGAATTCTATGGTCCGTCAGACAATACCACTTTCAACATGAAAGGTAAACGCTCTGATTCACGCAACCTCCTACAAGAATGGAAGGATATGCAGACCGAAATGAATCGCAAGCATGTTCTCTTACATACAAACGATGAGTTTAAACGAACCGACTGGTCTTCGGTTGACTATGTTTTGGGTAGGTTCTATGATTCGTGAGTTTGGCTACATAGTGTTATTGTGAATCAGTAACTAGTAAACAACTTTCTGTTTTTGTTTATGTTTAAAATGAGGCTGCCTGAAGCGTTATCGATTGCACGTGCTGTGTGTTGATTGGACCAATGTGTGTTGAGTAACTGACACTATCATTCATTTTATGGCATTTCATTCAGATATAATATTACACATTGATTTTCAGGTTTGTTTGCTCCGAGTCATTTGGCTTATCAACTGGAAAACCAAGACCAACCAAGTTTAGCAGAAATGACAGAAGCTGCTATCAAAGTACTTTCTCGTAATCCAAAAGGATTTCTTTTGTTAGTGGAAGGAGGTAGGATTGATCATGGGAATCACGAAAATCGAGCCCAGTAAGAAACTATTATTATAAATGCAACTATTTCCACAATTAAAACTAATGACAGTCATGATATTTTTGGTCTTTGGTATGAAACTAAACTGATGTCGACTATTGCTTGTCGTTTAATCTAAAGTTCGATGTGGAGTGTTGTTTATAAAAGTTTCCGACACATGTAGTTATCTTTTTAAGTGGATTGATAATATGATTACTTTTCCAAATTCTTAACGATTACAGATATGCATTAACTGAAACTTTGGAGCTCGAAAAAGCTGTCGAGAAAGCATTGTCACTTGTTGATCAACAGGAAACACTACTGCTAGTAACAGCTGACCATTCACATGCATATGGAGTGGTCGGCTATCCGACAAGGGACACAAGTGTGCTAGATGTGGATAATACTGCAAAAGTAAGTGTTAATCCTTTTCCATTTTTAAGCATTCGAGTAAACGAGAAACGGTTTCTTACCGAAACACATCAATTTACCAATATCTGAGGTATGTAGTAGACAACAAATGAACCTACTGATGTCAATGAAATGACAATAGGTAACATGTAGCAACTTCAAGTTATGATTGGCAAAATATTTCAAGTCTCAAAACGATTGGCAACTGGATCCATAGTTACAAAGTTTCCATCGCATGATCCGTTTGAAAGATTTGTCAATAGTAAAATCGAAGTTAAAAGCCCGCGTATAACACCGGAACAATTTTCAGGGCGAAGAATGCTTACAATGATTGAGTCTAAACATAGTTTCTGTTCGCTTGAGATGTTTGTGGAGGTCCTTCAGTTGACATATATTCCTCATGAAATCCAGTCTCAAAACGGATTTAATGAGTATCGAAATGTTGTTAACTGAATATGAATTAGTCAGATATTCAGGAGGGAAACAAAATTTTGACTACTTCCTTATCGCTGACATATTTTATCAACGAATTCGACAAAACATTCTCATCATGTAACATGATTGAATGCTTATTGAATAATGCGATTGCAGATGAATGAGTCGGTCAGATTACCACTGATTGCCTCTTTAAAGTAGTTGAAATGAGTTGAAAGTGGAGTCCATGTAAGCTGAGAGCATAGTAAAACAAACTCAATTGTTTGTAAAACAGGTCAATTCTCAAACTACTTCATTCATTTGACTTTGAGTGCAGTTTTAGGCACACCGATTCAAAATTTGCACAGCTCACCAGTTGTGATAATTGAGAGTTTGTTGATTTAATGGTATCAGTACATACATGTAAATGGTGAAATCAATGAATTCGCGTAAAATAAGAACAACGATTCAAGCATAATAACATGAGTTCGTTATATTCTAGCGATCTCACCTTCACTTGAGCTTGTATGCGTTTATGTTTATTATACCCTCTGAACAACTTACTTCATAGGTAGTCTCACTTGTGTCGGTAACTATTTGCCTATATCTTTACTTTATCATTAACACGCTTGTGTGAGTATGTGTGACTAATCACTAGTTACAACCAACATATATACACATCTTAGTAGGTTAAATGTTATTTACTTAAAGAGCGCAATGACGTACTTGCATACTTATATATCTGAGTATCATAATTTCTAACCGCTCATGTGTATTTGAAATTCTTCTTCTTTACACGATTATTATTATTATTAATATTATTGTAATTAATAATAATAATATTGTTCGAATTCACCCTTGTTCGTATCGGCATCGTGTACTTGATGAAATTTAATTACATTTTGATGAGAGTTAAAATTGGAGACTGTAAAGGGATACGCTATGCATAATGACATGATCAATTTGTCTCGGAGTGCTCGATTTCGAAATCATTAATTTGTAACTGAAAATGACCTCATTGAAGTATCCAACGGAAAATTGACGTAAATACGTGTTTTCACAAATAACTGTTTAACAACTAAATGTCATTAATATGATGATAATTCACCAATTATGGTGTTGACTATAATTTATACTGTATGTTTACGTGCGAAATCTAAGTTGTGGTCAGCTGGTGATGAGAGGTCACAATCACCTTGACGTTCACTTGTCCTTGTAAATGGGTTTATATTCGAAAAGTATAAAGTAGATTTTCTGTTGTATCACAGAAATGAATGGTATTTTCCCTGTATCACACAGTAACGTTTCTTCGAAACAGTTAATATAGTCACTGAATATCTACTCTTCTTTACATTGGGAAATCAAAATGTTGAAAGATTTTGAGGAAAATTATAGTCATTTAGAACAACCTAGTTATTTTTCAAAGTATCGCAACTTACACGTCTCTGTCATCGATAATATTATAACGGATTGAAATAGTGCGTGATATGCAATTAAAGTAGACCATATAAGAAACATTGATACACTCAGTGGAATGAAATTATCTAATATTGCTTTGTTTTGTGTTACAGGGAGATGATAATAAATCATATCTCATATCTTCTTATTTCAATGGACCAAGAGGTATATTGGATGCACCTCGATCGGATCCGGCAACAGAAGATAGATTTGCAAGCAACTATACCGCAGAATCATTAGTGAGACTCAGTTTTTCTACACACAGTGCTGAGGATGTACCGATTTATGCTAATGGACCTTACAGTGAACTATTTCATTCTTCATTGGATAACACATTTATTGCACATGCAACCATGTACTCGCTTTGTATCGGACCATACACGAATCAGTCACATTGTAACGAAGGAAACAATGGATCTCAACTCAGAGGACTTCATCTGAATAACTTTTATTATATACTATTTCTCAGTGTTATTTTGTACACTTTCATACATTAGTGCATATTTTGTGGTATTTTGTTCAAATGATTAATTTCATGTGTTTCATGTAAGCATATTTGTTATTTGTAATATTTATCAGGTTAGATTAGATAAGAATTCATTAAATGATTTATGGATATACAAACATGTATTTTGTGAATGAGTTTGTCATTCATATGCAGTTCATATTCTGTTTATCTGTTTTTGATATTCATATTTATATAAGAATCTGTCAAAGCGAAAATCGAAATTGTAATCATCACTTAAATTACAGTGTCAGACCTTCAGAATCAATACAGACATTCATTGTAGTATCGTTGATATACTAGAATTTCGACTCCTTCCCACACGTTCTAAGACAGTTCGTTAAACAATCACCAAACACCACTTTCATGAATTAATTCGGGACTTGGATAACGTCAAAACTATCTGTAGTAATGTATTTGGTAAAGATTATTTTATTAATGGAGTGGTGAATAACATGTTGGCTCATACTGGTTGACAATCGAGAAAAATGCAAAATACTCTATTTCTGGTTGCAAGTATTATGAGTATTGCATTGTATTTCAACTAGACAGCTACCACGAGGCCTAATTTATGAGCATAATTGTTTCACAGTCATACATAAAATAAGATTGGAGTATGGACTGACTTGAGCAACTTTGTAAATTGTCAATAAACTTCAAGGTTTAATCTGACTCGTATAGAAGATACTTATGCACAAATCCAACAGGTACAGATTAAGTGAAATTATACAATAATTTCATTTCTTGGGTAAGTTCATTCGGTGTTGTGATCCTTCAAAAGCTTGGTTCATTGTGATGATTGCTTCAGATGGAAGTAGGTGTTTCAGAACTAGTTCACAAAAACAGTATCTACCAATTCGTTATAGTCAGAATGAAAGTGGTTCTTTTCAAATGTTCTGTTTTCCCTATGTGTCCTTGCAATGAATGTTGTACTAGTTCGATCTTTAAACACATGACTGGTTGACTTGGTCCTCATTAGTTGATTGATTAAATCCCTAACGTCCAAAGGACTTTTTAAATCTGAATTTTTGATACTATTCATCTTCATAGATGTCAATGTGCAATGAAGAAAGTTGTTGTATGCAGTATTGTTCAACCGTTACCATATTATGACATCCGTAACACTTTATGGAAAGTGAAATCTCACTTTAATCGACTTTGTTTATGAACTATTTCGCAGTTAAGTTTTCGGGACTAGAATATGTTCTTCAATCCGTTCATGAAATACTATTACTACCACTGTTTGTACATTACACTGTGTTAAGTATGTTTTACATTGTTCCTGCTCGTTCCTTTCCTACTCTTTTGCATGTTGGTTTATACTACTTATTTACATTCAGTAGGCAGCTGTATGCCAAACAATTTTCACACTTATGTTGTAACTTAAGTTGTACTGTAACATTCTGGAATGTTCACCTATATTTTTAACGTTTATTTTACTTATGATTGTATTTATCATTGTAATCACTGTGATTTAATTACTGTAACGATTACCCACAGTTTTGTGCATTTGTTTGAATGCAACAGTTTCCATATTGTTTGCTCTTGGTTCGAGTTTCGGTTGTTCATAAACTGTTACCAAATTTAGACACGGCTATCGGCTGTCTTTGGACTATCGTATGTTGTAATCTTTCTTTATGTTACTCTTACAGGAAGCCTTTGCTATTTTCATTCTTGAACGACGCGTTTAAACGCCTAGACACCTCACAAGTTGAGGTTTGTAACTAAATTTTGTGTATTATTTAATAAAGAACCGCCTTTGTAGACAAATCGTTGTTTTGGAACTTCGATTTTGCGCGTATCTCAATCGGGGTTACTTCGACGCTTCGATAGAATTAATACACTGATATTATTTCTTCTCTGACACTAACTTGGAAAGATTTACACCGGTGACTATATAGCAAACGATTAGTAAAATTATGATGCCATTAAATATTTTACTAGTGTTATCACTGAGAATACTCGCAAGAATTCACTTCTCTTTTTTAAATTATGGGTGTTTAATTCGATTAGTTTAAATAAAATGTCTAAAACAAGTGGTAAATATATGACAACATATCTATTCCCGTAATTTTGCTTTTGTTTCACTGTGCTCTCCATTTTCATTTTCTCTCCAGTTATAGATACTCTGTAAGTACATAAGCAACAATGAGATAAACATTGAGATACATGAGGTTTATTTGAAGGAACTATTACTATGTTGCACTTGCAATGTACAGTTCACATTCAACGATGTAATCCATAGACAGAAGGACGGTATAGCAATGGGATCCCCACTTGGTCCATTACTGGCAGATTGCTTCATGGCCAGTTTGGAAAACAACCAACTCAAAAGAATTATAGAAAACCTCCACTTGTATAAAAGGTATGTGGATGATATCTTTATCATCTGTGACAACAAATGTAACTTAAGTGAGACATTTAATAATTGTCACCCATCAATAAAATTCACACTTGAAGTTGAAAGCAAACAAAATATTCACTTCTTTGATGTAGATATGGCAAGAAAACAAGATGGTACTTTAAAAAGATCTATCTACAGGAAACCCATGTGGAATGGCAAACTATAACATTTCCACAGTTGGGTTCTCATCAGCCGAAAAAGAAACCTAATAATAACTATCGTCACAAGAATACGAAGAATCTGTAGCCCCAATGTCGTACAGGAAGAGTTGAGCTTTTTAAAAGAGATACTTATCAAAAACGGACATCCTTCTATATTCATTGATAAGAACATGAAGCCAAAAATGTCAAAACCACAAACAATTACAGTAGAAAAGAAAATTTTATGCATGAACATCGATTTCAAAGGTGATAGAGACGCATATATCTTAAAGAGGAGAATTTCGGATTCTTTAAAAAGAACATTCTTCGCAGCAACATTGCGGATATTATTCTCCAGCCGATCACTGTTCACCAATAATCTGGAAGATAAATTATCGCATCTGACCAACTCAGTTTGCATTTACCAATTTACCTGCTCTTGTGGAGCTAGGTATATAGGTCGTTCGATGCATATTTTATCCAAATGAATTCAAGAACATTGTCCGGCGTGGCTAAAAAGAGGAGGCAACGGCTCAATAAGAAGTTCTATAATCGAAAACCTTGTGAACACAGGTCACTCAATCAAGACAGACTCTGCGTTCAAAGTCATCTACAAGGTAAGTAGAAGCCTTCCTAAGACAATTAGACTGCATCTTCTTTGCATTGCCGAGGCAATAGCCATACATTTTGAAAAACCAGAATTGTGTACAAAAGAGACTGGTACAACCTCTTCTTCTATCATGGTCTTAATGTATTTAAAAAAATCTCTTTCTTCATACTCTTGTTCCCTTACAGCCACCTGCTTCACTTTCCATCTTCCATTCAAATCTTCTACCCCCAACGGGTTTGTTCTTATTGCCACGATCATTCCGATCACATTTCATCTCTGTTTCAACATTTTATTTTATCATGCTGAGCCATCATTACCCAATGAATACTTCAGCCATTAACTATCAAACGATTATTAAACTTTCCTTGTTTAAAATTTTTTTACCTTTGTTTATTTAACCTCACTGTCACCATGTATAACAGAAGTTTATTATCAGTAATATTATCACCCTGTAAAAATAAGTATATATATTTGCAATTGTACAGCTTTGAAAATGAATTCGCCGAAAAGAGAACTCTTCGCTGAACTAATCTTTCTTTCTTACTCTAAAGTTACTGGTTTAACTCTACGATACCCTAAATGTGGTTTCGCATAAAGTTTAAATTCTCACCCTAAGAATGTACTGCTCTCAAATCTTTTTTACTTCACATTATTATAAACCCTGTGACAAACGCACCCTTGAAACAGTTTATAAATCACATCTCTTTAAATAATTTACACTTATACATGTTACATTCCTTTATGAGTCAATCTGATCATGCCTATAAACCTGCATTGTTTTGGTATTACTGTCGGAATATATTGTATTTGTGTCTTCAATATTTCCTCTTGCACCGTATCAAAAAGAGAATTCATCACTTCAAAGACTGAGAACATAAAAATGTACACACCAATTAGCCAACAAACGTATCATATGATGGCTTTTGTAATGGAAGTACACAATTCAGATTTCCTTCACGCTGTTTCTAGTATGACCAAAACTAATCGTCAATGCAAGAGGTTGTAGTGACTTGCTTTTATCACGAGAACACGATTGGTTTAATGAAAACAATTATTATTATAACCAGTTGTAACAGTGACTGTTTTACTGTGCTCGTTTGTTTAACTGTGCTAATGACAGATATATTTCGCTTCCATTACTCTTCATTACTTTTTTCGCGGATTGTGACCTCGTACGTTCGTACTCTTGCTCGCTGATTCCCCTTGTACTTCTTTTGGCACGATCTTGGTATTCATTCGATACCACGAGATCGCCAACGAAATAAATCTGGTTACGTTCAGTCTTTGCCTTCTGATTTGTCTGGCACGCGTTTCCTTGTAGTGGTGTTCATAGTCGATCTCGACTCGACTCCAAGCCACAAGGTCATCCGAAAATAGCTTACAATTTTGAAGAATTTCAATTAACGATTGCTTATATTTCTAGTCAGTTGTTCTATTCTTAAAACATTATCAGTTTGCCAATACTCAAACGCTCCTAGCTGGTTGTAGTCAGCTATCAAATCTTCTTAGTTGGAAAACATGGTGTCCATTAGATCAAACAATTCAACGTGACAATTTCTAACTTTATCATAGACCACAGTTCTGTCTCATCATGTTTGTAGGATTTCAGTGAACAAACTAATTGTGGAAGTTGATTCAAACTTGTCAATCAAGTATCGTTACAAGCAGTGGAACACTAAGTACCGAACTTTATCCATGGATAGTTGACGCAATACTTCCCATCATTATAATCCAGAAAAAATTATTGGATTATCGAAATATCAGTTCCTGTGTGATGTGAAATCGCAATGTTTCTCGATCCTCGCAAAACTTAATTTATTCCCTTCTAGGTTAGTGTTCACTCACTTACTTTTGTAATTTCTGATTAATTGGTCAGAAGTGAAAACGAGGAGAGATATTTCTAACATACTGGATGGGCTAATGACTAACACATTTGAAAACACAACAGTGAGGATTCCTCATGATCAAAAGCAGAGACGATTGCATATTACAAGATGGATGATATATCTCAATACAACGCAAAGAAGAAACTAGATGTCAAGATACAAATATAGTGTTTCACAAGATGAGGAATAATCACAAATAAGTGGTGTGTAACAAACGCTTCCTTGTCTGGTGCTCATATGACATAAAACAAGGCCAAATTGTTGGTACTGAAGTGTGTGAAGAAATTGACTATCATTCAAAAACAATATAATTTATTTTGATTATGTACAAATAAGCTTAAACAGTACTGTTAATAATAAATTCTTCTTCACGCAACTGCGCGACACCGATTTTGGAGTTTTTCTCCAGAATTTTCACTGACTTTGTTAAAATACCAACATACCCATTGATCTGTATTCTTCTTCTAAATTCTCCCGAACTTTCGGAAGACTACAAATTTTCATACAACTCCGGAGAAAACCACGAAATTCCTAAACAGTTCCCCTGGATATCCCCAAATTATGGAGATCGGGAACCTATTGTCTATTAATGATGTAGGTGGTGAAAAATCTTTCAGTAGTTAATTACATGAAGAGTTACTATGTTTTGTAATATTGGTTGCTGTCAATATTCATGTTGTGATGAATTTGTAGAAATATACTACGAGACTGTATTATGACTAAGTTTTTGATACAAGCAAATCTCTTGTAAGTTGATTTGTTTTTGAATATTACTGATTTGCTCTATCAAAATTAGACCAGAATTAAAGACATTGATAAAATTCAGTATGTGAAAAAAGCATAGGACGTAATTTGTTAGTTATTGAGATATATAAACTATGTGCTTCAAAAATCAAAAATGGTCCGATCAACATACCAACAAATTGGTTTCCATTAACATTTGTTGAAACATGCCTTATCTCTGAAATGGTGGTTGAATTATCTAAATAAACAGTTCTGTGAGTTTTCGGCATTGATCCTAACTTCATACATTTTACTCAACACATCTAGTTGAAGACACTTGGTCAATAATTAACACCAGATCACGAGTGTGTAATCCTTTTTTGGTTTTTTTATTTTTACATTTTGTGATATCGATTTTATGTTTTTGTGCAGTTTTGCCACCTATTTGTATATTTTATTTCCATCATCGTGCAACAGACAACTAAGCCATTCGAGATTAAAACATCTTTCGCCGCCCATATTCCAACTCACGCCATTCTGCCCCGCATATATCGAAGCCTGGTTCTGCTACGCAGAAGCCTGTTTACACGAATATGACGTGACAGACCCATATACACAACTCTTCCTAGAAGTGAGGGCACCATCGCGAAATTTACACAGGTACGTCACAACCAGTATGTTCACCATTGATGTTTCAAAACCGTATGACACATAGAAGAAGGCTATCCTTAAACGTGCAGACCCAACTAACCGATAAAAGTTAGACCGGCCTTCGCACAATGTTAGGTCGCGAAATGACTCGGCGACAGAAAGGTTGCTACATATGCGAGGGGTCATTGGTCAACAAAACTTTGACGTCCGCCTGATCAGACAGCTATTCTTGTCTAAGATGCAGTCAGACCTTGTCTCACTTCAAAATAGCGCCGTAGACAAACTGGATGTTTCTGACAACCGGATTTTGGAGATCATTAGAACCCTCAGCAGCGAGGATTATGCTGACAAAA